ATAAAGTTTTTCTATCTGGTAATTTAATATTTGGATTAAGAAATCTAAATAATTCAATTACTTCTAAATTATTTGTCTAAGCTAATGAAATTCCACAAGAAATAGTAACTCATAATAACAAATTATAAAATTTTTTTTATCTTTATTTGAAAAAGGTTGTGTAATATATATATCTAAAGGTCCATAGTTTGACTAATTAGAAGGAAAGGATGATAAAGATGAGCGAGATTAAATTGATTCTCTTCGTAATAATGGTAATTGTGAATGATTTGGTAAAGTTGATACTAGTTCTTACAATAGATTATTTTCTATTAAAAATAAATATTATTAATATAAATAATAAATAAATAATAAATTTATTTAATATTTTACCTAAATTAACTTTTTGTTTTTTATTATCAAAAGCAAATATTTCTTCTTTTTCTTGCTGACTATATGTATTTTAAAAATTTTGACAATTTTTAAAATGTGTGAGAATTCTTTTAGTTTTATCTATTATAGTTTTTAATTCTAAATGGTTTCACCAAGTTTTTTAAAACAAACTTTACAGTAATATAAATTGTTACTGAATCCATTTTTTTTATTTGTTTTAACAATATATTCTTTTAAATTTTGAACCATTTTTGTATAAAAAATTATAAATGCAATATTTTTTAAATTTATTAAATTTATATTAATATATTTAATTGTACTACTATATTAAGTACAAAAATTGTACGAAGTATATATTATACAGTGTACAATCATATTAATTATTATGTACTAAATTGTACTAAGTACATAGTACAATGTATAAGTACTATGCTTGTACGAAAATTTTATTTGTACATTGTATTTAAATAACCCTGCCTATAGAGATAGGCTGTGTCAGTTTACTTTTAATTTTTTCAAGTTTGTCTTCAAGCTTAATAATACAAAGATCATAATTTTCTCAGAAAATAACTCAATAGACAAATGAAAACTATTTTAGGATATCCTTACCATTAATACAGTTTTCATTTACTAATTACAAGAAAAACATTTTGCTAAGTAAATATTTTATTTTTTTCATATAAATATTTAACTTTAGCTTTATTTTTATAATAAGTGATCAAGCAATGAATTCTAATTGACTTGATCTATTCAGATACAGATGAGAACAAAATTAAGATAATAAATAAAAACTCAAGAAGAAAATTACATGACAAGTCAAAAGAATAAAGAAGACAGACTTGACACGATCACTAAAAATATGAGTATATTCTAATTCTTCTCAAAAGATCTTGCTTTAACAATAGATAGGTATGTTAGATTAGTAGTAGTGAATAATTACCATTTGGGTCATAAGACTACAAGACAATTTTTCTTTAGAATGCTCCTTTAGCTAAAGATTAAACATACAAGAAATGGATTTTTATGGATAAGGTTTCATATGAAGTATTGAATTATGTTATCTTAGACATTATACAAGCAAGAGATAAAGTTATCAGAAAGAATAAGGAAAATAAACATCAATATTATGTTTTTCATTTTAGATTTAAGAAAAATAATCATTAGTTAATTACTATAGTCTGAGATTTTACCAAATTTAATAGGATGATCATTTTCTTTTATGATAAAGAAAATGCAGATCAGAATATTCTAATACACTTCTAAATATAGAAATCTAAAATTATAAATACATTTAGCCAGAATTATAATCCAATTTAATTTATTTATTATTCATCAAAAAAATTTATTTAAAACTAAAAATGATATACATGTATATAAAAGATAATAAAATATATTAGTTTTCAATTTCTTTACAAGCAATAATATTATTTTCGGCCAGAATATTTCTAATTTCTTAAAGAATATTTAATAAATTATCACGAGATTTACTTGATAAGCTTTGAAAATGTAATTAATTCAAATCATCTAAAGATGGAATTAAAGAATTAATGATAGTTAGAATTTCAATTTTTGTTAAAGAAGTTTCATATTGTTGAAAATCCATTTCATCACGTATTATAGGAATTAGATGCCAAATTCCTAATGAGCTTTTGTCAATTAATACTGCTTTAATAAATTCAGCCCTCTTTATATATGCAATTTTGCTAAATTTTTTCAGTTCTTCACTTAGCATCCATTCACCAGTAATATTTTGAAAATTTTGATTAGAATATATAAATTGAGTTCTTCTTATTTGAACTCGAAATTGATGTGATTTAATTGCAAAATTAGGACACGTACGAGGCTTATGAATATTACCTTCAGAATATCCTATTGTATTAAATAAATTAGTATGTAATTTCATAAATTTAATACAATTGCGTGCTGCTATTTCTCAATGTCGTTGTGAAGGTATAGGAGGAATCAATGACTTAAGTGCTTTATTAACTTCTTCGAGCACTGCATCAAGACCTTGATGTTGATTCAGAAGTCTAAATCATGATATTACAGTTTTTTCTTGAATCAAATCACGAATTTCAGGCTTTAGTCGTAACAATTGTTCTTCATCCATAATTTCAATTAATCAGTAAATCAGATGTCATCTGGCAAACCAAATGGATGCAAACATTCGTCTAGCTGCACCTTTTAATAAAGGCCTATTCATATGAATACTGGTACGAAAATTAATAATTGCTTGTAAATAATAAAAAATTTGTTCATATTTTAGTTAAAATGTAGGATTAGTTTGATTTTGGGCCCATGTAAGATAACCATCAATAAAAGGAAATTCTTCAAAAATAACATATGGCCACATTAATTCAGAAGCTATTGCGTGTCTATATATGTTACATATTGAATCCCAAGATTTATGATGATCTGCACATTTTTTAAAAAAACTAAGTTGATTCTCAATTTGATATTCTTGATATTGAGTGAAATATTTCATGTCAATATTCTAATTCAGTTCAACAAATGCCTTTAATATGTTTATTTCTTCATAAAGAGCACCCGGAACTAATATAAGCCAAGGGAAGTCTTTTTTAATTTTCTGTATGTAACTATATGGTATTCCATCACAGACAACTACGACCCACTTACGATCACCTTGTTTAATATCAGATATCTCCTCAATATATTCAAGAACCTTCCGTATATTGGCAATTGAATTCAGATTAATGCCTATTAGATCGGGAATAAACATTTGTGATATGTTGACTCTACTTTCTAAATCTGATCGTTGTATATCATTAGAGTTTGTAGTAAAATTCTGGTTATTTGATTCATAAATAAGAGGAAGGATGACCAAGGATTTTTCGTTAGAATTTATGATCTCAATCGGCTCATTAAATTGTTAATTTATTTCAGTCATTATTGGTAATTTGGCATTGCATGTAGGACAATTTCGTTTCTTATTGTCAATATTAGCGATTTAATAAATATTATATTTTTTCATAAACCCTAGTTTGCTTTGGTGATGTACCGATTCATCAATTATATTTTTTTCTTGACTCCTTTCAATACAAAGTTCTTCCAATATAGTTGTAAGGTATTTGACAAGTTCTTTGTGAATTTCATTTTTTATGTCTAAAGTTAAACATAATAAATCTTCATATTGTTTTTGGATAAACTCAGAATGTAACCAAGGATTAGTATTAATTTGAATATTATTATATTGATTATGACAAAATACAACGAAACTCGTAACTGTATGAAATACAACCGTATTATACTCATAATCCAGATAGTTCTTTTGGCCCTTTTGCTTATTATCAAAAGCTAAGAATAAGAAACCTTTAGGAAGTGATTGCTGTTCAATAGCTAAACTTTCTAACCAGTTAGTAAATTTTATATAGCTACCAGAACTAATAATATGGTTGTCGATATCAATGATAGTTTTGGATCTTGCTAATGAATATTTGATCGCAGAAGCAGCAAAATTAATAGAAGAAACATACTTTAAGTTTCTTGCTCTATAAATAGCATCAACCGCCATTGCGCATTTAAAAAGCTTTTCGTCTTCGAGTTGATCACCATTTTCATTACATATGAAAGTTTCTATAAACTTTACGATAACAGGATTTCGTTTAGAAAGCTAGTCAGAAACAGAATAACTTAAAAGACTATCTAAACTAAATCGTTCCCGATTGTCTATTAAATTAATAATATCATCATAAAAATTTTCACGTTCTTTTTTAGCAATTTCAACTACAGAATCAATTCTTGCTCTTTGATCATCAAATCGACTATTTCATCTTCTTTTTAATTCTTCATTTTCAGATTCTAGTTAAACAATCCTTCGCTCATATTCCTTTATAAGTTTAACATATTTTATTCGTTGAGCTTCAGAATTAGTTAAAGATTTCCTTGTATCTATTAACTCTAGTATAAGACTTTCATTATCTTGTATGATATCTCTATCTTCAACCATTCTAACTTCAACTGTTCTTAATCTTTTTCGTTGACTATTTTCTTCAGAGTTATTTTTCATTATGAATTTATTAAGTAAAGTATCATTAACAATAATTTGATTATAATGCTTTTCACAAATTGAATAATTTTCTAAAGAATTGCATAACAAAGATAGTTCGGGAAGATACTTAGCAAATGTATTTATTCGGTCCGCTGCTGCCTTCGCTGATGCATTCCTCCACTTTTGGTTCTCTTTGAATTTACATGGTACTATGCTTTCTGAATATTTAGCGAAAAACCCTTCAAATATGCATGGTAATTCTTTAGCAATCGTCATTCTAAAGGTTAATTTTAGGAAATTTCAAGTTAATATTACGCTTTATATTCTTAAATAACCCTTTGCGGATGAAAGCGGATTATAAAAGCATATATTTGAAAGAGTATATTCGTATATTTATTATAATTGCATTATACTTTTTTTTTTGCCGTTTGGATCGGCGAAAGTGTTACAATTATTTTAATTAATAACCAATTAAATTTTAGAAACGTGACTGCCGATTATTCTAGATTCGGTTTCCATTTTTGGTAAAATCCCAGACTGTACTATCTATACTCAATACTGTTACGAATCACTCCATTTTTATATCAGGCTTTACATAATAAGAAATTTCTTGCTATTGATCCTAATCATCCACGTCACAAAATGAAGCTACTATTTCATCATGAACATCGAAGATGCAATCATGGTTGACCAAATGAGATTGGTGAAATTAAAATGGACTTGAAGCTAATATACGAGAGGAAACTAAGATATTAGACATTCGTATGGGTATATGAAAAGTCTATCTGCAAGAACCAAGCGGAAGAAATTCACGTTGCAACCACCGATCCTGAAGTTCGCACCTTTCTTATATGGTATTCTCCCACAGTTGATTATGGAAACATCGGAGACAATGATATCAATTGTGTTTTTCGCTTATGTTTGGCTCTTGATGCCCTTATCTCACGCATTACTAGAGCATTAGCAAAAAAGCGTAACTCTATTAAGCGCGCTCAAGCATGCATGAGAAGACATATTCAAAATTTAGTGGATGAAGTGCATAAAAAAACTGCATTGTGATTGATTAAGACTTTTGATATAATTGTGTTACCTAAATTTAATAGCACACAGATGTCTCGTAGATAAAAAAAGAAAAATTAATAGTAAAACAGTTCGAAAGATGATGAGCTGGACACATGCTAGGTTTAGGAATTGATTGTTATCTAAAGCGGAAAAATTTGGTAAAATCATAATAACATCTGTATCTGAAGCATATACAAGTAAAACATGCAGTCATTGCGGATATATTGAGAGGAATTTGGGTGGAAATAAAGTATTTAAGTGTGATGGGTGTGTATTTCAGATTAATAGAGATCTAAATGGCGCCCGGGGAATTTTTCTCTGGGCATTGCTTGATGGAGCCTTAGTTATGTAATATAATTATGCCAATTGATTGATTATAGTTGACTATTTTTAGCTATCCGATCAGAAATTTCATCAGGCACTTTTAAATAAATGATCGCTGAATTATATGATTAATTTTTAACAGAATTATAACGATAATGATTTTAAATAACATTAGATACGTCCAAGCATTTTGTTGAATTTAAGGTAAGTGATTTTAAAAAATTTAACTTAATAGGACCTTTCATTATAAAAAGACTAGTTTTTCTTGCGTTTACTGCGCCATTATTCAAGACATGCAGGTCATTTTGAAAGATCGCCGGATCAAGTTAACATCAACGAAAGCATTAACCCAATTTAAAGCAGTTTCATAGGTTCGCTAAAATGCATATTCAAACTAAAGAATATTATATTTATGTCTCGCATTATTTCGAGAAGTTGCTTTCGTTTTTCATTATTACTTTTCATTATAACCTCACCTTCATGAGACACTTTGCCATCTATTTCCCCATAATTTGTTGCAAGTCCTAGAAATAGCGATTAACTCGGTGAAGAAAGCTTCGTAAATTCATTTTGTTATGTATTAACAAAACTCAAAACATATATAAATATAAGGATTCTGGCAGATATTATATAATTAGAAACCTAAATATCAAGACATCGAATTCTGTTACTTTATAAAAAGTCCAACATATCTTTTTAATGTCAAAGAGAAGTAGAACTAATTTACGAAAGAGAAATGTCAGTCTGAAGAAAAAACCAACTTTAGATTGGCAGGAAAGAAGGAGGCGGCAGATCAGTGATGCTTTATCAAAAAAAGATATTTCACAACTTCGAAGATTGGCAACTTCAGGTCATGGTTTGGTTAATGATGGCTTACGACGACTATGTTGGTAAGTAAAATATGTTAAAAATGATTATTATAAATTATATCCTTAATTTTAATTGCAACTTCATTTTAGGCCATTACTTTTACATTTTGAACATTATGAGCTTCATTACAAAGACAACCTTCAAGGTCCGGATGTGTTAATTGAAATATTTTTTTATTGTTCATACTTTTCAATTTAAACTAATTAAATATTATTTTCTAGAGGTACATAATGACGAGCGTCAGGTCCTACTTGATGTCGAACGATCATTTGTTTACTTTCCTAAAGGTAAATTAATTATTGAAATTATCATATCAATTATCATTCTAATTATCATTCTAATTACCATTTCATAAATTCAAAGGGTTAAATCATGTTCAAAGAAAGCAGAAGCAATCTGAACTGAATGATGTTATCGTAGGAATTTTACGGAGACATCCCAAACTTTCATATTATCAGGTATTGATTTTAAGATTTTATACATGTATGTTTATCATTCATTTATTAATAATATAATTGCATTTAGGGATTTCATGATATATGTTCATGCCTTCTACTTGTGTTGGGGAAGAAAGATGCTATTAAAGCAGGAGAGAATATTGCAATGTTTTTATTAAGATATCCTTTTACGTCTATTAATTGTTCAGTTCTTGAAAAAAATTTATTCATAATACCTTAACTTCGGAGAACGGATGCGATGCTTGATTCATTAGATCCTATTTTAAAACAACTTAATCTCTTGAATACTTTGATACGTTTGGAAGACTTGGAAATTGCAAATTTTCTTGAGGAATCAAATATTTTACCATATTTTTGTCTCAGTTGGGTCATCACTTGGTGTAGTCACGATATTCATGATTATTCAAAAGTCATTCGTTTATTCGATTTTTTTATTGCATCGGATCCTTTAATTACAATCTATCTATCTGCCATGGTAAATAATATCAGAATTATTGAATTCATTAGGATTGTTATATGAAATATTAATATATTCTTTTTTTTTTCCAAAGGTTATCATGAACCGTCGTAATGAGTTATTAACGTTAGAACGCGATAATGCAACTATTCATACATTCCTTTCTAAATTTCCTCAACATATTGATATAAATGAATTGATTCAAGAAACGATACAACTATATAAAAAGCATCCACCGCGTAAACTTCAAAAAGCTTCCAATGAAGAACTGGATGAAAAGTACTTAGTGAAATTCGATTATTTTAACTAATTGGGTTGTTATTATTTTATTCTAACTTCTCTTTACTAATAGATCTTGTGTGAATTTATATGAGAAACATTGGCTAGAATTAAAAGCTGATTATTCGGTTGTGGATGAGATTCTCTCTTTACCTCCTTCAGTTAGAAAACCTGATAAAAAATTGAAGAAATCAAATCCATTCAATAAGCTAAACAACAAACAAACTATATTAACCTCTGTAACAGTAATTGCGTTTATATTAATAACTTCCAATTGGTTAATGAAGTAAGTATTAACATATATCATTAAATTTATTAATGGATAATACTAATTAATTCAACTGATATTATAATTTATAGGAACTTGCCTGAAAGAAATCTGTTATCATTTCATTAGATTACTCTTAAACTATATATATTTTTAATAAATATTAAAAAATTAGAATCTTTTTAGAGTGTTTAAGTACTGTACTTGGTAAATTCTTTAAATATATTATAATGTTAAAATGATAATTTTTCTACTACGAAGTTTAGGTATATAACAATACTGAAATGTGTTTATTTATCATTATCTTGTAAAGTTTTGTTTACCTTGGGTAAAGGATGTTTACTAGTTTCTTAATACAGTAAACCCTTTATAAGTGCATTCTTTATAAGTGCATACCCTCTCTATATGTATACTATGGTTTGGCTTAGGACTTAGAGCTAAATACACACCGTTCCATGATTTTTGAACATTCCAAAATAAAACACACATTTCGTATTATTAATAAATTCAAAAATCAGTACTGTTTAACTTGTTTCCGTCTGCATTTTATACTAAATATAAGGAAAAATAGGTTTTACAAATACTGTATTGTTATTATCTCACATCTTCAAACAAAGAACATATTTTATTTTTTTATTTACAATAAAAAACTAAATACAATCTGGATCAAAGTAAAATTACCTTACTTAAGTGCAAAAAAGATTCAAGAGACATGATGTCTCAGTTGAAATGTTATGACGATGGGCTGCTTCCGGAAAGGTTACTATCGTTAAAACGCTCAGAGGAAAATAACTCTACTTAAATACAAATGTACACAGAGCCTTTGAAAATGAGTAGCAATCTATACAAAAGGCCAAAATTTGCTATGCCAGAGTTAGCTCAGAACATCAACGAGATGATCTTGAATGACAGATCGCAGACCTCTAACAACATTATCTAGGATATGAAATTATCAGTAACATCGGTTCAAGACTCAACTGAAAGCGTAAGGGGGTTTGTTTCCCTTTTAGAACAAGTATACTCTAATAGAATTGAAGAGGTGATGGTTATCTGAAAAGATCGTTTGTATCATTTTGAATCTGAACTTGTGGAGTGGATCCTTGAAAAAAGCTAAACACAGCTTGTGGTTTTCAGTTCAGACATTTGTAGTAATGATGGCAAAACTGAAGAATTTGCATAGACTTACTTGCAATCGTTACAGTGTTTGTGATGTGACATAATAGACTACGTTCTGTCACAATTCGTAAAAAAGAAAAGGTATCACCCAAGAAGAAAGAAATGAAGAAACCTCTAGCAGGCAAAGTATAACACATTCACCCTTTTCCTATTCAGGAGGAGCAAATGAAACTCAGGCAATAGATAGAGACAGCATGATGAACGTACAATCGATGTCTTATCGTGATCAAAAAAGAAGGTATCAATCGAAAAAAAAGGATTTAAAGTAGGAACGATAATTTCTCGTGATTCACAGAACACTGCAGAATTTTCCTTAAATGCATCTAACTACAACATTCATTTTAATTACCACATAATGCTACAGAATTTAAAAGTTCCTAAATTTTTATAATAGAAATCACAGAATTATGTGATTTTCATAAGATCAAATTTTGATCGATAATCAAAGTTCGCGTTTTACATTTGTTTTACAAATTAAGTTAGAACTTTTAGCAGATATGACAATACGTAAAAAAAAGTATGCATAAATACTCGTATTAATGAACATCCTGGTATTTTTAGAGATAATGAAGGTATTATGTTTTGTAATTATTGTGACTTTTCAGTTGAATAGAAGTCAAAATTTACCGTGAATGAACATTATCGGTCAGTAAACATGTCCCCATATTTTTAGGCTATTGCTAAGATAAATTTCATAAAATAATTTTTATATAAAACTTA